TACAAAAAGTCTTCGGAGACTTCGGCAAAGGTACGAAGATTCCTTTGAGGAACATTAAAATAATAAGTCTCAGTAAAAAAGGGCAATGTTATCAGCGACTACATTGTTGACAAAAGTCAAAGCTGCCGATCCTCGAATGTGCAAACATTGAGAAGAAGGCAGGGGCTTTTAAATTAGTTCACGTGCCTTTTTACAAAGCCCAGCACAGAGACCGCTTATTGTAACGGGTAAACAGACTCTTCGATAAGTTTAATGGGAGAAGATTACGGGAGCATCATGATTAAACTCTGGATATATCCTCCTGTAACAAGTAACTGTCACTAATGGAATTAATGGCCTTATAGATTTAAGGTCTTCCGCATACATTAAGAAGAAGGCATGACGAAAGCATGAAGAGATGTCACTAATAAAGATATTAAATAGGAAAGGTCCTAGAGAGCTGCCTTGTGAGAGAAAGTGACAAATGGAAAAATGGATAGCGTCTCCAATAGAAACGTGGAAAGGTCGGTCTGCCAGATTAGACTCAAAGCAACTTAATAAGGAGGAATGAATACCTTATTTATATAACTTGCAAGGCAAGAAACCATGGAGGATGGTTGGAGGATATGAAATTACGTCAGAAATGTCAATTTTTTAGTAGCTATCTGCTCGAGTATCCAGTGACGTTGCAAGTGACGATTTTAGCTGTAGTTCGATAGTTGATAACATCAGACCTACTGCCACCTCTATAAATAGGTGTGATGGAAGTAATTTTCGACACGACCACTCGGGGGAACTATCAGATGAGAGCTACAAGGAGAGCCACAGTTAAAGGGGATTAGAAAGGGAAGCGAAGCTCTCTTAATAAAGAGTGGGGAAATACCATCCAAGTCAGGTGTGTGTTAAACGGTAAAATGTCCTGTGGCTTCAACTAGGTCACAGTCTAGTATGTCCATGTTACTCACATTGAGAAAAGAAAGTGGTTAAGAAGAGTTTCATTACCACTTCAAGGAACCTTCGGCTCCAAGTTAGAGGCAAAGTATTTAGCAAAAAGTTCAGAAACGCGCTGATCCGAGTCGGCTACTAAATTACCATAACATGTGGAAAAGACAACCAAGAATTTAGTATAAAAATCACCAATTGAGCCATCCGAAAAAAGGGAAACTCAATCAAAAGCTGAAATAGAGGCATTAATAAGTGACAAGTTAGGATCATTCAGATGATAATATGGAATGGGAGATGAGTTTTAAAGAGGTTAAACTCAATATGAATTACTAACGGCTTATAGTACATATCACATGGACTTAAAGGTACATTTCAAAATAATACTTTTTTAGTAGAATCAAGAATCACTGATAAATCATTAAAAATAATATTTACTTGGGAGAGGCCCAGACTAAAAATATCGTTTGAACGTTTGCTAGGTAGCATGCAGGGTGATTCTGGGTCCCAAGACCACACGATAGAGCTTAAGTTTAAATTGTCAGCTACCATCAAAGCAGTACGGTCCAACGTTAATAGATAGATATTAAATGCGCTGTTTGGAGGTATATACGACGCAATGATGATGAATGGGCCATGGATGCCCAGGATTGGAACGGCAAGCTGATCCAGTAGAGGGTCGGCAAACGGAAGGTGTAGTAATGTAGCTTGAAGAGATCGACGAGATATTCGAAATACTTGGTACAAGTTAGGCTCGAAGAACTCAGAGGAGCTAAACTTGTTATACCCTTGCAGAGGGTTTTATAATTTTGGTCAAAAGTGTGCAATGGTGTGAAGGAGACATTTCCGACCCTATAATGTATATATATTATTGATCAGAATCACCTCCTGAGTTGATATGAGTATGTAACATAATACAACCCACAATTTTGAAGATTTTGAAGATAGAAAGTTGAAACTCGTACAGATTCTAATTTTGGTCAGTCGATCCGACCTACCAAATTTCATACCGATCGCCTAACTATATCTTATAGCTGCCATATAACTGAACGATCGAAAATGGTATTTGGTAAAAATTACCAACTTTGGTACTTTTGAAGATAAAAGCTTTCGGCTTGTTTTTAGATTTCGTGTTGTAATAAATTGGTTATATTATTTTATTCCCATAATGATCGGCCCACTAAATCCGATTTTTGCGATATATATCCGGTTTTAACTGCAAGGGTATATTAACTTCGGCTCCACCCGAAGTTAGCTGCCATATAACTGAACGATCGAAAATGCTATTTGGTAAAAATACCTACTTCGGTATTTTTGACGATAGAAGCTTGGGACTTTTTTTTAGATATTTTATTGTAATAAATTGGTAATATTATGATATTCTCATAAAAATCGAGCAACTATATCCGATGTTTCCGGTTTTAACTGCAAGGGTATATTAACTTTGGCCTCGCACGAAGTTAGCTTTCCTTTCGTGTTAAGTTATTATTTGATCGTAATTCAGCAAGTCAATCTCTTAGTGCTATAGCGTGAACATTATTTTTTGTGACGATAGCTTGATTATCGCTCTGTAATTGGTGAATATGTGATTTGAACATTTTCAACAATTCATTGTGGCCGTTCAATAGAGCATCTAGCTCGCTGACGATATGTCTGGCATAAAATGAATCAAGGTTATTATAATAACAACGTGCATTCACGCGATTGGCAAGTGCGCTTCTGGAATCCTCGCCGCCCATAAAGTAGGTTTGTAAGAATTTTTGTGGTTCGTTTGGCATTGACAGCAGTGACCCCATTTAATGATAAACTTGGCCTCTGATTTTTAATGTAGAATTGTAAAGTTGACCATTTGCATTAGTATGTCGATCTATTTCGTTTGCTCCGAACGATGTCATTTAAAAGCATGAATTGAATGTTCGAATTGATTTCAGGTTAGAATCTGGATCCGTGCCGATAAGAAAGCCGTCCAATGGTTCTGGTGGGGTTTCAATTTTTGGTAGTTGCTCTTTTCCTGACGCGAACACATCCCAGCTGGCTCATTTTTGAATTTCAGAGCATGACAATGCGGACATTCCTTGTCCATAGCACCAATAGCACAATTTGAGTGAGCACAATACTCAATATCAGGCTCATACTGGAATGCTAGACCCAGGAATGAATAAGAAATAAATGCTCGATGTACCTCTTATCGTTTTTGGTCATTTGTTTTGCGTCTATTGACTGGGAAACGGCGTGATTGTCGTTGTACTAATCTTCTGACTTCATTGCGTTCAGCTCGTGTATCTTCTGGCTCTTCTTGATGCAATTGCGCTATTCTAATATGTACATCAGTATTTTGTTGCTGGATCTGTTCTTCGGTTCTTTCGGATCTTCTATTTCGCATGTTCCGAGATCTACTTGTATCACGGCTCAAATCACCCTCTTTGCGTTTTCTTGGCATTGCTCACTGTACAAAACACTCATTAAGGGGAGGGTAAGGTCAAATCATGCGAAAAAAGCCATGTTTTTGTGATTTTTTTCCTGACGACACAGTTAAAATTTATTTATTCAACCAACGGTATATTAAAGTGTGACATTAGAAGAATGTTTAATAAAATTTTTACAAAAAAATATTTTAGAATATGGCAATGGTAGCAATTGTCCGGACGTTTCGCCAAAAAAAGTTGAATTGCGGTGCCCCTCATAACTCGTTGCTGGATCATTTGTAATCAAAAAATGAAAATTCATTCGTTAGATAATAGTTCGCCCCAGGTAACGCTGTAAAAGTTTTTTGAAAATTGCAATTTTTTAATTTTTTCGAAGACTTTGAAGTGAAAAACTTAATTTTTTTGGAAAAAATCGGTTAATTTGACATTGCAAAATCAAAATTATGAACAAAAAAAAAAAAAAAACTCGAAAAACTCGAAATATTGTTTAAAATTTCAAAAGGATCGGTGCGGTAGTTTTGAAGTTATGAGGGGCACCGACTTTGAAAACGTGAGTTGTGGGAAAAACGCTTTAAAGTTTTAAACACAAAAAAAATCCAGTGTAAAACGTTTATACCAGGTGTACCGGTATGAAGTGAGCGTCAAGATACAGAGGTCTCGATTGGAAACGTTTGTTGTGAACGAGCCTTTACTTTTTTTTTGTTTGTTTGCTATGACATCTCTGATCTCAACATATTTAGTATACATCAAGTCATTGAACAGACAACATTATATTTTTTTATCTCGTTAAAAATGTCGAGTTTTGTACCAGAAAGTGATGATTTGCGGAAAGCATTAATTTTATGTCTCGAAGACACTAAAGAAAATCGATTTTGCATCGGATTGTTACTGTCGATGAAAATTGGATTTATTTTAAGAATCCTAAACGGAAAAAATCATGGGTTAATCCGGGCAGCCATCAACATCGACTGCAAAACCAGATCGATTTGGCAAGAAGACAATTTTGTGTGTTTGCTGGGACCAGAAAGGTGTGGTGTACTACGAGCTCCTTAAAGCTGATGAAACTGTTAATAAAGATCGCTACTGACAACAAGTGATCAATTTGAACCATGCATTGATCAAGAAATGACCAGAATTGGCCAGAAGACACGGCAAGTTAGTTTTGCTCTATGACAATCCACCTGCCCACAAAGCAAAACTGGTTCAGGATTCAATCAAAACACTTGGCTGGAAGCTGGTACCCCACCCGCTGTATTCACCAGACTTGGCTCCTTCCGACTACCATTTGTTTTCAACGATGGGACACGCATTGGCTGAGAAGCAGTCCTGAGCAGGACGAGGAGGTCGAAAATGTGGTGTCTGGTTGGTTTGCTTTAAAAGATGAACAATTTTATTGGTGTGGTATCCACAAATTGTCAGAAAGGTGGTCAAAATGTATAGAAAACAAACGTCAATACTTTGAATAAAATGTTTTTTACTTTCCGATTAATATTTTGTGTTTTTGTTCAAAAAAAAAACGCTCATTTCATACCGGTACACCTGGTAAGCAACTTCGTCAATAACTAATAACTTCGTCAATTTTGCTTTAATTGACTTGAAATTTTGACACAATATTCTTCAGATATTATGCATTCAATTTAAAAAATAAAAAAAAAAATGAAAAAAAAAGTTAATACCTTAGCCTCCCCTTAATAGAATTAATGTATTTACTTAATGATGGATTTTTGCTTCAGTTTAAATTGAGTTAAAATGCTATGGTAGCGTGAGTTTGTTAGTGTGATGAGGTAGTAACTCACTTTATATGCGATTTTTGGTAAGTCGAACAGGATTTAAGAGGATGAAAAATAGATGTTGGCGGATTCTCAGACCTACTCAATACGCTCTCAAAATTTCATGAGAATCGTATAGCCGTCTCGGAGGCGTATGGTAACAAAAATTGTGACACGAAAATTTTAAATATATAAATTATTTTCACGAAACGAATCATTCAAATTAATTTTTTTACAAAAGTGTTTTTAAACCTAAATGTTTTCTTTTTTTTTTTGGTATTTTATGCGATAGGATCCCATAGGATCATAAATTTTTTCAAGAAATTCCCAATCCTTTGGTCGGTTATCAATCAGATGACTTGTAACTTTCTCAGCGCCATTCTTTTGTTTTTCTGTACATTTCGAGCAATCAGTTAGCATTGCGTCAGGAAGAATTTCTAAAAACATCATTAATAATGAAAAAACAATATTTTTTTGAACCACAAACTAACCTTTCAGCATTTTGCCATCGGGTGTGCAAGGCCCTTCATTTTCAAGGCATTTAATATAATTGTTAAGCAAACGGTCTTGATTCAGTATTTCATCCAAGTTTACATTATCGAACTCATTGTTATAGAAGCTTTTAATAGATGAAATTTTTGTAGAAGCTCTAGGATTCGCTTGTCCATCATTGTGATAAATGAATGTGCATATTAATGCAACGAATAAAAGCGATTTTACCAAGCTTTCGTTATGGTAAAGCATTTTAAATGTTAGAAAAAGGGAAATGATTCGTTTTATATAAAGACATTCAACTAGATATTTTATTGCGTGCATACATCTTGCATGATAATTTAGTAAATTCATGCATTTTAAACTAATTTTAACTGATTGCTATAACTCAATCTGCCCATGCCGTCATAAACAATGCGTTTATTTAAAAGGTACATATACATACATGCACATCTTTAAACATAATCCGCACTTTTAGATAAACAAAAATTTATCCTTTATTAGCGATGCAATTTCTTTAACCCTCAATATACTTTCTTTAAATGTACACATTTCTACCAGACCAAAATACATTTTTTTTTGTTTTCTTCTGTTTATTGAATCTTTTCTTATTATAATAAGACATACTGTCGGTTCATGCGACAGCGGAAAAATTTGGATGCAAATAATTCGTGTCACCTGTGTCGTCGCGCCGTATGATCATATCAACCCCCATTTTGTCGCCATCTCGACACCGATGGTAAGCTTTCGTTGAGGTATTGCATTTTACATGTCAAGAAACTAGAAATTTTATTGCGTGCATATTTTGCATGATAATTTTTTAAATTAATGCATTTCAAACTAATTTAAGGTGATTGATATAACTTAATCTGCCCATGTCGTCAATAACAATGTATTTATTAAAAACGACTCGTTCAGAATCTCGTTCACATAAGCCTGAAATATTAAGCGTCGGTTTTAAAGATTTTAGAGATCAGTAGCGAGCTGTGATGGACTGTTTCCGAGCTAGTAGGGACGATGCATGCCGCAATCAAGCACAAGATGTCACTTCGCTCTGCTCGAATTGCTTCTCACTTCTGGGAGAAGTCAAAGGTTTCAGCGTCTGTTGCCTGACCCGACATATATTTATTATTATTTCATATTCATATTTCATTTTATTCATATGCACGACTTAGCGATGAAATTTCATAAACCCATGTGTGCTCATTTTCTCTTCATCGCGTTCACTCTCTGGCGGATAACCTGGGTCCGTGAACGAGAGCGGTCGCCGGTAACTTGCGTTACCGTTTATCTCTCAATATCTCATGCTTTTGCAGTTTTGTCGTCTTGGTCACTCCGCAAGCGTTGTGGCGCGCTTTTTTATCTTATGTCGCCCTTGCAGAGGGTACAAAAATACTATAAAAACAAGAAAGGAAAGCTAACTTCGGGCGGAGCCGAAGTTTATATACCCTTGCAGTTAAAACCGGATATATATTGCAAACATCGGATACAGTTGGCCGATCCTTATGGGAATAGGAATATATAATCAAAATCTAAAAAAAGTCCCAAACTTCTATCTTCAAAAATACGAAAGTTGATATTTCTACCAAAAACCATTTCCGATCGTTCAGTTATATGGCAGCTATGGGATGTAGTCGGCCGATCCTAATGAAATTTGATAGCTTGGATCAACTGACCAAAAATAGAATCTGTATTAAATTCCAGCTTTCTATCTTCAAAAACACGAAAGTTGGGTCATTTCCGATCGTTGAGTTATATGGCAGCTATAGGATATAGTCGGCCGATCCTTATGAAATTTGGCATGTCGTATTATTTTGCCAAAAATAGCTCTCATGTCAAATTTGAACTCTCTAAAAACACCAAAGTTATACCATTTCCGATCAATCAGTTATATGGCAGCTATAGGATATAGTCGGCCGATCCCGGCCATTCCGACTTATATACTGCGTGCAAAGGAAAGAAGGGTGTGTGCAAAGTTTCAAGACGATAGCTTTAAAACTGAGAGACTAGTTTGCGTAGAAACAGACAGACGGACAGACGGACAGACGGACATGCTCATATCAACTCAGGAGGTGATCCTGATCAAGAATATATATACTTTATAGGGTCGGAGATGTCTCCTTCACTGCGTTGCACACTTTTGGACAACATTATAATACCCTCTGCAAGGGTATAAAAATGTGATGTAGTTGGCCAAACAATATAAGAATATAATAATATAACCAATCTATTACAATACAAAACCTAAAAAAAAGTCCCAAACTTCTACTTCAAAAATATCAAAATTGGTATTTCTACCAAAAACCATTTCCGATCATTTAGTTATATGTCAGCTATAAGATATAGTCGACCGATCGTTATGAAATTTGGTAGGTCGGATTAACTGACCAAAAATATACTCTGTACTAAGTTCCGGCTTTCTATCTTTAAAAACACGGAAGTTGGGTCATTTCCGATGGTTCAGTTATGTGGCAGCTATAGGATATAGTCGGCCGATCCTAATGAAATTTGGTAGGTTGGATCAACTAACCAAAAATAGAGTCTGTACTAAATTCCAGCTTTCTATCTTCAAAAACACGAAAGTTGGGTCATTTCCGATCGTTGAGTTATATGGCAGCTATAGGATATAGTCGGCCGATCCTTATGAAATTTGGCATTCAGTCGTATTATTTTGCCAAAAATAGCTCTCATGTCAAATTTGAACTCTCTAACTCTAAAAACACCAAAGTTATACCATTTCCGATCAATCAGTTATATGGCAGCTATAGGATATAGTCGGCCGATCCCGGCCGTTCCGACTTATATACTGCGTGCAAAGGAAAGAAGGGTGTGTGCAAAGTTTCAAGACGATAGCTTTAAAACTGAGAGACTAGTTTGCGTAGAAACAGACAGACGGACAGACGGACAGACGGACATGCTCATATCAACTCAGGAGGTGATCCTGATCAAGAATATATATACTTTATAGGGTCGGAGATGTCTCCTTCACTGCGTTGCACACTTTTGGACAAAATTATAATACCCTCTGCAAGGGTATAAAAATGTGATGTAGTTGGCCAAACAATATAAGAATATAATAATATAACCAATCTATTACAATACAAAACCTAAAAAAAAGTCCCAAACTTCTACTTCAAAAATATCAAAATTGGTATTTCTACCAAAAACCATTTCCGATCATTTAGTTATATGTCAGCTATAAGATATAGTCGGCCGATCCTTATGAAATTTGGCATTCAGTCGTATTATTTTGCCAAAAATAGCTCTCATGTCAAATTTGAACTCTCTAACTCTAAAAACACCAAAGTTATACCATTTCCGATCAATCAGTTATATGGCAGCTATAGGATATAGTCGGCCGATCCCGGCCGTTCCGACTTATATACTGCGTGCAAAGGAAAGAAGGGTGTGTGCAAAGTTTCAAGACGATAGCTTTAAAACTGAGAGACTAGTTTGCGTAGAAACAGACAGACGGACAGACGGACAGACGGACATGCTCATATCAACTCAGGAGGTGATCCTGATCAAGAATATATATACTTTATAGGGTCGGAGATGTCTCCTTCACTGCGTTGCACACTTTTGGACAAAATTATAATACCCTCTGCAAGGGTATAAAAATGTGATGTAGTTGGCCAAACAATATAAGAATATAATAATATAACCAATCTATTACAATACAAAACCTAAAAAAAAGTCCCAAACTTCTACTTCAAAAATATCAAAATTGGTATTTCTACCAAAAACCATTTCCGATCATTTAGTTATATGTCAGCTATAAGATATAGTCGACCGATCGTTATGAAATTTGGTAGGTCGGATTAACTGACCAAAAATATACTCTGTACTAAGTTCCGGCTTTCTATCTTTAAAAACACGGAAGTTGGGTCATTTCCGATGGTTCAGTTATGTGGCAGCTATAGGATATAGTCGGCCGATCCTTATGAAATTTGGTAGGTCGGATAAACTGACCAAAAATATACTCTGTACTAAGTTTCAAATATATAATAAGTACTAAGTTCCAGCTTTCTATCTTTAAAAACACGAAAGTTTGGTCATTTCCGATCGTTCAGTTATATGGCAGCTATAAGATAAAGTCGGCCGATCCTTATGAAATTTGGTAGGTCGAATAAACTGACCAAAAATATAATCTGTACCAAGTTCCAGCTATTCTATCTTCTACCTTCTTTCCTTTGCACGCAGTATATAAGTCGGAACGACCGAAAATGTTTAAATTTTGTACGAGAAAATAATACGACATGCCAAATATTATAAGGATCGGCCGACTATATCCTATAGCTGCCATATAACTGAACGATCGAAAATGACCCAACTTTGGTGTTTTTGAAGATAGAAAGCTGGAACTTAGTACTTATTATATATTTGGTCAGTTTATCCGACCTACCAAATTTCATAACATTTCTTTGGTTCGTTATTGTATCGCTGCATTGCCCAGTCATTGTCTTCCTCTGTGTACAGTGACTGACAAAAGTCGGCAAACAGTCGCGACATATGTAGGTAATATACATAATTCTGTGCCGGTTCCGGATCATCAACAACATACTGAAACAAGAAAGGGAGTCAAGTTTCCCGACTATATTGTACTCGGTACTCATCTTTTCCAACCACAATTTAGCTAACCTTTAAAGTTTAAAGCCTAGTACTCTGACGACGAAAATCCGCTGTAACACGTGTGATAGCGAAATCGCTCTTTTTTTGGCTACCGAGCGAGTGTGACCAAAAAAAATTATGGAAAAGGGTAATACACTGAACAGCTGTTCTCTTTCTCTCTCTCTCTTTCTAATATTTCTCTTTCAATTTTCGCTCCATGTTTGGGGTGTCAAAATAAATCAAATGAATTATTCAGATCAGCTGTTTACTTTTTTTTAACCGGCAACGCCATTCAATTTGACAGCCATCCTTTTCGTCGTTACCACGTATGAGTACCACCAAAATTTAGCAGGCACAAATTTCTTCTTCTTCCTTTTTTCACACCGTTTTTTTTATATGTTAAAGGGTTACAGCGGATACAGTAACAAGTGTTACAGCGGATTTTCGTCGTCAGAGTACTAGGCTTAAACAACAACGGTATGGATTCTCAGCAACAAATTTTTGTTGCATACTTTTTCTCGTTGACAAAAAAAGAAACAACTACTACCCTTTCCTACTTCCTTCGTCACTACTACCGATTAAGTAGGGAAGCCAACTGAGAAGTCTGTTACTCCGTTAAAAATTATCTGACTTGGCTGATTTTTGATTTGTAGGTA